CGACTTGTATACAATAATTTTTAAAAATTATTTCCGGTAATATTTGACCAGGTGTGAACGATTTTGACATGAAACTCAAAATTTACAAAAATTTCGCACGTTTTTGCTCGTATGTCGAAAACTGTCCATGCGCCACCCCAGTATTATTTCAGATTCTTTATGTACACAAAATTACGGAAATTTTAACTTGAAAATCGCTCCAGGGCGAAAAAACACTCATTGTATATATCTATCTTAATTAATAATACGGAATATGCAATTATTTTGCTATAGTCAAGAAATTTGAAAACTAGGATCATAAATCAAGGCAGCGGCCAAACTCGAGTCTAAAATAATTTTAAAGTTATTTCGAGTCATATTAAAGCAAAGGTTTCGTCAAAACTTGGGTATGTTGCAAAAAATTCGCACATTTTGGCTGGTATCGCGAAAACTGCTCGTGGGCCACTCCAATTTTATTACGGATTTTTGATCTACTCAATATTACGCAAATTTTAAGCAATCAAACTCGAAAATCGTTAGAAGATGAAAAAAACACTCATTGTATATATCTGTCTTAAAAACGTTAAAATTCAACATTTTCCCAACTCCAGGCTTAAAAATGAACAATATCAGATGACAAATGATTACGCAAGAGATATATTTTCGGCACTTATGTAATTCCAATTTTTTAATCCACAGAACACTTTCGGCATCACGTTGTCCATCAAATTAATACAAAAAGTGAGACATTATTCATTAATTACGTGACACAAAATCAAGTTTTCTCCAGTAACGTTCTTGGCCACTCTTAACTGTAACATCATGTAACTTTGCTCAAAAATCTATAAATTATCGTGCGACCAAGATATGGAACAAACTCCCACGCGATTGGGACCCAAACTTGAGTTATAACAAATTTGTACAAGCCGTCCGTGAACACATCATTAATGCACGTGACGACCAATATTGTTATTGAGTCCATTAGATATTTTTTAGGTTAAGTATATAGTTTTATCTACTTGTGTCATAGTTTTTAAACCAGTTTTGTAAACTGATAACTATTAACACGTGAATAAAGGTTTAAATCAAATTAAATCAAACACGTGACGCAAATTGGAATTTTTACTAACTAACTAACCACACACTTAATGAACGGTCACATTTTTTCTTGTAAAAAAAAACCTCAAAATTCCTTTGTCACCATGGAATTGGAATTTTTGTGCCGAGATGGCTTCTAATTTCTTCAGATGGATGAAGACACAAAAATTTGAGACGAAATGTCAAAGTCATTCCGCTAATGAGATGGAAGAGCCGTGCATAAAATGTGTCATAAATTTTGACCTCTCATCAATTACCCAGCAAGACGACGCTTATCGGAGGTATAAAAAAGGTCACATCCTTTCTGCAAGTCTCCACCGAATTTGCGTAACCTTGACCATTTCCCGGCTTTTGTGCACATTATATTTCGCTAAATCCGGCGATTTCGTCACGTTTTTTAAAAAAGTCACTTACGTAATTTTGCCTGTGAAGATATTTACTAGACTTTTCTGTAAATTTTACTCCTCTTCGTGAAAAATGACGACGATTACGACGTAATTTGTGATTGGATTTGTATTCTTGGATGGTCCGGTGGAAATTTATGCAAATGTTGTCTATTTATTTGGGCAGAAATTATATGGAGGTCCTTTAGCCGTGATATATTGCCACTTTCTTGGACAATGACGATCATAAAAGAGTCACCGTAATAAGAGTCGACCTCACCTTTAGTCAAAATTGATGATCCTCAAGTGCATACTTCGTATGAAGTTTAGCATTGTTGTGAAAATAAGTGGAAAAATTTACTGGATAATCTAAACTTTAAAAAATTCTACACCCTGAATTTTACAATTAGTTTAAGGAATTATGTATAATAAAGGTGTTCATTTAATAAGATATTTTCGAAATTCTGCCCAAATTGTGAAATTGGGTAAAATTATCGTCGTGAAAAAAAATATTTTTCGTTTATTTTCTTCTCTTCTCATGTCCCGATGGTGGTCCACGATTGTTTTTCATACGGGTAAAATGAACTCCTGGCACACCCATGAAATCCAAATTCTGTCAACGCCAGGGTAGAGGTCGACGCCGCCAAGGATACCTAAATCTGATTTCCTACTTTTTCAATATTGCGACGAAAAATCACCAAAATTGGTGCCCCCGCAGCTGTAAAATTTGCCAGCGTCGACATCGGCGTCAAGACAAACCCATCGCTAACTAAGACGCTCGCTTTCAACCAAAAATTACACTTAAAATTCTGCGTAAGTGCAAAATCACATCATAAGTTTCACCAGAGAAAACCTCACTTGGCTGGAACCCTGCCTCTCTCTAAAAAAAGTAGCCAGAAGAAAACCCACCTTGGTTTACAATACATATTTACTTCAAGAAAAAGTTGCTGTTTAAAATTTTTCCCATCTTCTAGCAATCCCAGGGTTCGGAAAAACCCAGGGTTTTAATCAAAAAGTAACGACCCAGGGGTTTTAATGGGTTTTTTGGGTTTTAATGGGTTTTATGGGTTTTATTGGGTTTTATTAGGTTTTACATAAGTAATACATTGAACAACAATTTTCACTACTATTGCAATCCAATTTCAATTAATATGCAAATCCTACTTGTCCATGTTAGAATTTGTATCCGTTTCGAAATAGTCCTGTTTAACTGATCATAGTTTAATACTTTATGAGAATATATATTACCTTTTTCTCGAATACTTCCTCTCATCATAATGAAATCCAAGTTGTTTAAAAGTTTTTAAAATTTAATATTTCAATGCGATCTTAACGTGTATTATCAATTCTGGAAAAAATCGAGTACTTAACAACAATGAAAGTACGTATGTATTATGATCGAGAATATAATAAGTGCTTTTTACAGACACACTTCTTTTGCTCATAATAAAGTACTTCGCTGTCCATAAGTACTCGAATTTTCCAGAGGTGATAATTAAGATCACCTTGAAACATTTTAAAAAACTTTATAAATTAAAAAAATACTACAGTATTTTGTTTAATTTATTCGCTGAGATGAGAGGAAGTATTCGGGAAAAAAGTATTAATTATGACAGCAAAATGTAAATTAAATGTAATTAAATTATGTATGCTGAGCATACTATGCTCAGTTAAACATACCTCGTTCCGAAATTATTATTTTTAAATATTTTTGTCACTTGAAACTTGTAATGGCACTCGCTGATTTATTCCTGGTTTTTAAAACTTACAATATTAATCGAATAAACTGCTTAGCTGCCATGAAACAACTTCGTCTAATGTACGACAGCTGTTTTCAGATTTTAGAATATAGTTTTAAGCTGAAACACAGTTAAAACCCATTAAAACCCGAATAAAACCCATTAAAACCCAAATAAAACCCATTTAACATGGTAAAACCCAATGGGTTTTATTCGTTAACAACCCATTAAAACCCATTAAAACCCAAAAAACCCAACCCAATAAAACCCTGGGTCGGAATACCCTGAGCAATCCTAATAAATAAATCTCTGGAATAATGACCTCTCCCTGTTTCGCAGTGGGAGAGAGAGAGAGTTATGCAATGATCAGAGAGCGGTTATGTATTTATTATCAACTTTTTCATTTGATACCGACGGCCAAACATTGTGTGTGTGTTCCCTAACTCGCATAGATCACTAAAATTTCAAAATATTGTCACATATGTATTTCTTGGTCTTCAGATGTCAGATATATAAATCTTTCCGCTATTATTTCTTAAATGCGTATAAATGTATTGTAAATATTTCAGCGATGTGAGACGAAATTTTTTGCTTAAAGAAATTCTACCACTAAAAACCTACAGGATTATATTCAGAAATACAAATTTTGTTATTTTTCTACATATTTAGAAAATATTTTTACATTTTTTTCATAAATACAAATTTTATTATTTTTCTACATATTTAGAAAATATTTTTACATTTTTTTCATAAATACAAATTTTATTATTTTTCTACATATTTAGAAAATATTTTTACATTTTTTTCATAAATATTAAATACATATTTAATACTATACTTATCCACCCTCTGGTAATAATTCAGATTCGTACAAACATATTTATTTATGACATGGTCGTCTGCTTTAAAACAATGCCTTCGTCTAAAGAGGAAACGGAGATGAAGCCATGCTGCACAAATTCTACATGCCATTTAATTTACATTACGTAATAATGTTCCATCGTCGTCGTCGTGCTTTGTGCGCGTGGGGCTGTGCAGAAAAGACTGCGTTCTCGCTTTTTCCATGGTCCACGTCTCGTTTGATGTCAAAAATTCGCTCAAATTTTTATTGCATAGCCCCCCAAACAGGAAAGAATGGAGTAAAATAAATTTCAGATTTTTTAAACCAAGGAAATGAAAAATTCGTATGCATTTCACGCCACTTTTTTTCCAGACTGTTGGGTTCGGCTACTTAAAATTGCACATATTTATATAATTTAATAAATGGTTAAAATTCTGGTGAAAAATGAGCACGTGCTTTTTTCGTAGGTCATTATTCCCGTGAAAAATTAGAAACATAACATATTATTAAAATCATCATTTATTTATTTATTTCCATTTTTTTTTACTAAAATTCGTTATTACTAACATAAAGATGTTTTTTAGTTTATTAGATTTTTATAATATTCTCAATCCTTAATTTTTATCGGATATTGATTTCATCAAATTTTCATCAAAAAGTGTAAAAAAAAATATTATTTGCAAATTGCAAATCGTATCCACCAGCACAATTAATTTGCGTAATATTGACATGGCATAAATTCAGCCACTATTTATTTATATTTTAAGGCAATTCACGCAGTTCTTTGTAACTTTGTAAATTTTGTAAAATAATTTTAGAAAACTTTTACAAAATTAAGAGACGCCTTTGAAGTTACACAAATTTGTAAGCTAATTTTCGTTCGAAATATTTTGTAAGTTTACGGATTTTACAAAGTTACCAAGGACTACGTAAATTGCCTTACTAATTACAAAATTAAGGTCACTTTTTAACTTTATTTATACATTTTCATCAAAGCCATGACTTTAAATTTCCATCCCATTTTGAGCGAACCTGCACTTTTATTTTACTAATTTTTATTCACTCCCGATTATTTCACAGATTTTACATATTTTAAATTAGCTCAAACATTTAAAATCGTATCATGCATGTTAATAATTAATTAATTAATTAATCGTATAAAATAATAATGATCATGAAATTAGTTCCATTTATAGCTGGACTAGTCTTCTCGTTCGTTCGTGCTGCGGGTTAATTAAATTATGGAAAAAAATGGTACAAAAAAAACTCTACAAATTTCATGGCCAGTTTCATATCATATTTTTTACAAATTATTATTATCTTAAATATACATTTATTAAAAAAAGGAGGAAGAACAAAAACTGTACAATGTTTCCATAATTTTTTTTTAAATTCATACTCAAATTTCAATTTTTCCATATTTTTTCCAGAAAATCTGAAACTGGAAATTTCCATAATGGGAACTTTAGTTATTTGAAATTTTACCCAAATACTCAAAGTCCCCGAAATTTCGACATGAAGAAACATTGGCAAAGGGACATCGGTTATTTCTGCATATTTCCGAAAGTTTCCAGACAAATGTTTCACAATTCATGGCCAAATTCCCCTCCAATTTTTTATTATTTTAGATTAACAAAATTCAAAAAATTCCACCTTAATACAAATACATTCATGAGCAAGTAAGTCTAAGAATTGAAGAAAATAAAATTAAAAATTTCCTAAAATTCCTATTTCCAAAACGCAAACGAGAATTTTTTCGCTTTCTGTGGATTATTTTTCGGCTCGAAAGATGGCTCTGAATAAATATGTTGCTGACTTAAGTTGTGATTGCTCCCGTGAAGAACGAGGCGTGCCGTGTCCTTATCCAAACCCGGGAAGCGTTCCTGCTCATCCAACTCGCGGTACTGCTTATCACCCGATTTCAGTCGACGGCCGGCAGGGTCGATAACGTTCCGACCGCCGCTGGGGACCGCGTAACCGTGGCGATTATGGGAAGAATTGGTCTCTGGAATGATCGCGGTTTGGGAGGAGTGTTGCATTTTGCAGCGAAGATTGGACCCTCCGCTGAGGTATTGGTGCCCGTTTGGATTGGTGGATGGGTGAGAACTCGTCCCCCCGCCCCCGTGGGGATTCGAACTCGGGAGAAGGATATCCTCATCACCGCCGGGATGTTTGCGCCACACGTTTCTGGACGAGCGCACGCCCGCTTCGACCCAACGGTCCAGACTGTCCCGTGATCCGCCGGTTTTCTGGGAACGGCTTAAGGAACGCAGCAGACTTTCGCGGGAGAGTTGGCGTCTAAAAGGAAGAAAAAAAAATTGTGCAAAATTTTGTCAAAAAGTGTTGCAGTTTTTTTGGGTTAGAAATTGCCCTAAAAAATCAGGGTTATTTCAAAAATTAAATTAACTCTGTCCGTTTATTCAAGGGAAAAGCTTCATTAGGAAAAATTCAGGAATTTTCACTTTCAACAACTTTTGACAAGTTAATCTCATTTTTGGAAATAATCGCAATTTTTCCGTCGATTTATAGCCAAAAAATCTCCATTCCCCAAAATGTTAAAACACTTCTAAATCATTGCTTTTGTGTATAGCATGTAAATTTCGAAGTAAATAAACTAGAGAGGCGCATGATCATCGTTCTTTACAAAGTTTCCACGTGTCTGAAAATGTTACAACGTTACAAATCCAAATATTTTTCTCTGATTGCCAGTGCCACCACGTCGTGCACAATTAATGAGAGAGAGAGAGAAGAAATCAAGGAAATCACGGCGTCTCAAAATAAATATCGAGTCTGATTAGATGTAGAATTGTTGGGTTGCATTATTTATTAAAAAGTGTCCCCTCCTTCGTTCTCAGTCCTACTCGCAGACTACGAGTCGCAGCCTTAATCATTGGAGAGAAAGACAATGAAATGCTGTGAAATGACACGCTGTGCGCTTCACGGACAGTGTAACAACCAACTCAATTTTAATCGGACAATGGACCCTCATTAATAATCTCGCTCGGCTACAATGGCAAAACTTTTTCTTAAGGAAGACAATGCTTCTTCCCACGTGATGGGACAATAATCACAAGAAACTTAGCGTCACGACGGTAAAATTTAAAAGGGGCGAACAGGAAGGATGGCAAAGTTGACGAGGGGGGAACAAAAATCGGCTCAAAATCTTGCCTTGCCATAAAAGGATCTTGTTCCAAACTTGTAAAGTTCCAAAAAATATAGTTTAGTTCCAAAAGAGAAATTGTGTTCTAAAGAAATTCAGTTAAAAAAGATGGAATTTTCATCCACAAACGGAGTTTTCTTCGAAAAAGGGGATATGAAAACTGGATACAAAAAACGGCTTAAAAGTCGGTTCGAAAGAATAGATTTTCATTTTTTAAACGACTTTTTGTTTTAAAAATAGCATTTTGTTAAAAAAAAACGTTACTTTAAGTAACAAAATGGTCCCAAAAACGAAGTTTTCATTTGAAATCCCAAACTTTGAAAATTTCAAAATCTTATCATTTTTACTCATGAACTAAATTTCTACAAGAAAACCGTGATACAATTTCCTTTCTCCCCGAAAATAACCAAACCAAATCCCCCCAATAAAATACCCCTTCAAAACCCACCTGTAATCAGCCTCAGCCGCTTCACGGGATCGATACCCGTCATCCAAACTGTCATGAGAGGACCTTTGATGCTGATGATGCTGCTGCTGCTGCTTCGTGTTATACTGATGATCCAACTTCTCCCACTTTTGCCGCACCCCTTCGAATTTTTCCCGTGAGGAGGACGCGAGCGGGGGTGGTGGGGGCATGGAGACGTGATGGTTCAAATGGTCCGGGGAACGTTGTCGGTTTTCGGGTCGTTTTGGCAGTGGTGGAGGCAGCGGGGAGGATTTATTCGCTGGGGATGACGCATTATTACTGTCCACCACCCACATCGGACGGACCAGAAATTGCGTAGTTTCCGTCGCCACGAGCGAATTCGGGTTCCATTCTTCGTCTGAAAATTTAAATTTTCAAAATTTTAGAAAATTTGAATTGTTTCAAAAATTTGAATAACACGGTTATTTTAACGAGACAACAATCGCAATTTCAAAAATTTGTATATTAATTTATTCGTGTTGAACTTGGCTTGTCTGAAAATCACATCCACATAATTTCTCCATAGGTCCGCTTAGTTTGTAGAAAATGTGACGAGAATAAAAATCATGCAAATTTTACACTCCAAATTTCTCAACTCAGAAACTTTACAGATTGAAATTCGCATTAAGAAATTATCATGGGGAGGAAAAAATTTACATTTTTTATTGTTTCGAAAATTAGGTTTTGTAAATTGACAATGACATTCAGACAACAATCGTTCATTTAAAAAATTTGCATATTAATTTATTCACGTTGAACTTAACTCGTCTGAAAATCATTTCCATATAATAATTGATCCGCTTGGTTTATAGAAAATAATAAAAATCATGTAAGTTTGCACTTCAAATTTCTCACCTTAGAAATTTTACAGATCGAAATTCACATTTAAAAATTAATCGTGGGGAGCAAAATTCCAAATTTCATTGTTTCAGAAATTTAAAAAATTTGCATATTTACTTATTTGAACACATATTTACTTGTTTGTTATCCACAACTTTGAACTTGACTTATCTTAAAATCATTTTGTTTTAAACAATAATAAAAATCATCATTTTGCACTCTACATTTTCATATATTTCTCAAATTTCTAATTTTACCTCCTAAATTTTTACCCAAAATTTCTGAAATTCTCTCAAAACAACTTTACAGCTTTCCAATTACGACAAAATCCATGAGAAAAAAAAACAGTCAAAAAATCATGACCAAACGAGTTCCAATTGATTGTGACCAAAAAGTAATTTCATAACAATCACTGACTGAGAGCCAGAGCCGCCTTTCCAATTGCCCAAAAAAAGGCCAACTCTTACAAAATTTCTACCAGAGTGGAATCATAAATACGCAAATATAAGTCATGCACTCTGTTCAATTATTGAGGGTAGTGCAGTGCAATTTAAAAAGGGGCCTTGCAAAAAGCACGTGCGCAAATTTTCTACGAATTTCAACTCTCATCTCCGCCACAGTTAATTTAAATTAACTAAATATCACAGAGATTCAAATCACAGTGTCGAAATTTTGCAGAAATCAACCAAAGTTGGATATATGCGTATTTTTTTGCACAATCCTGCACAAAATTTCTAAGTTTTTCTGCAAAAAATTGGACGAAATATCTGCAAGAAAAATCCGTTCAAAATTTTACTCGGGATTTGCACACTGCGGAAAAGTTTGTGCATAAAAATTGTCAATAATTCTCATCTGAGGAACGTAATTCTACGGAAAAATATGCAAATTTTCGAGTTTTATACCCCACAAAAAATAAAAATCTCATATTTTCTGCACAGTCCCCGCAGACGAGACACGAAATGAAATGCAATTCACGAACTGCATAACCTGCAACAACAACCTTGACGTGTAATTGAAATTCGATTAGATTTCTCACATTTTTGATTCAGTTTCTTTCTTACTTCCATCCATTCTGTAATTATGTGTCAGAGGGCGGATATGTATTTATGAAAAATCGATGAAATATGTGTTTAATATCCATGGAAAAAAGTGTCAAAATATTCACGAAATATGTACGAAAAAATAAGAATTTTCACAAAAATTTATATTTTTTAATGTATGTAATGCTCTGGATTTTATGCGGTCAAAAATTTCTTTGAGCACAAAAATTTCGTCTCACATCGTTGAAATATTTAGAAAATATATACACATTTCTGAAAAAGTATGTAAAAGATTTCCGTATTTTTAAAATAATGGCGGAAATTGGAGGAAAATGGCGGAACAAATCCACAAAGGTTGAGTAGTCATCAAATGAAAAAGTAGAAAATAAATACATATCCACCCTCTGGTTACACTTATTACTTTGCAAATTTCAATGTTGACCCGCGGATTGGATATCGACACATTTTAACGGCCCTGCACACCCCTCAAAGAAAGACCCCTGTTAAAACCCATCGAGCTAATAATAATCCACTCATGATTGAACTAATTATTTCATTTGTCACACTCGCAGTGGCCGTGACAAAACAAAATCTTGGGAGAGAAGTCAATTAGCAAATTGCACTTTTAACTCTCGAGGTGAAACATTAATTTAATACGAGCAAAAAAACTCTGATTTCCTTTTTGCAAAGCAGTTTCATTCATTCTCAAAACCCATTTTTTGCTCGTACACACCTTCATTAAGTCAGAAGTCGTTTTAAATCGAGTAAAAAATTTATCGAAAATTTCTACGAAATAAAAAGTGCCTAATTTTGTAGAAAGCATTGTTTTGAATTCTACAGTAATTGACAAAAGCTGGATGCGTATTGTATTTTGCGTAATTTTTGCTACATAATCCTGCCCAAAATTTCCATCGATTTAATTCTGCAGAACCACGTGTGCATAATTCTGCAGTCTTTCTGTAAAAAAATCACGTGTGCATAATTCTGCAATTTTTCTGCAAAAAATCAGGCCAAATTTCTACCGGAAAATAAATTTCCCTTCAAAATGTTTATTCTGGAAAAAAATACTTATCTCCAACACATCCCGCCTGCCTGACCCCTCCCTCAAAGAAACAGATCTACAAAGTGACACTCTACTTTGAAAGTGGGATAGATAATAAATAAATCTGCACCTGAAATGAAATCGAGTGACCTCTCCACCATTTAATAAAAGGAAATGGAAAGTCGCGTCGTCGCCATTGCGAAGAAAACCAAGTCACTTCTCGCAATCTCCCATCGGCTCACTCACCAAACTTGGCAAGTCGGTCGGTTAACTTAGAATTTCATTCGAGATTTCATTTGCCCAGCAGCTCAAAAAAAAGTGCATGCATTGTTAACCCGACACAGAGAGAAGAGAAGAAGAAATGAATAAAATAAATAAACAGAGCTGACCACACGGTAGCGCGAACAATCAGATTTTGTACATTGTCAGCCAAGAAATGAAAGTTGATTCAGATTTTGTATCCGTGAGCTGACTTTTGATTGTCTTAATCGCATGACCTTTACATACCGAGGGATAAAAGGGGCAGGGATGGCCAAAATATTTACTGAGACAGAATACACAGGGATTTGTAAAATCAGCAAATTTTGCAAAATAATTAACGTGACAAAAAGGGCAGGGATAGCCAAAATATTTACTGAGGCAGTTCATACAGTCCTTTGTAGCTTAGTAAAATGTGTAAATTTTGTAAAATAATTTTATAAATCTTTACAAGATGAGAAGATACCTTGCCAAGGACTTCGTGGATCGTATCATTTTTACAAAATCGTGAAATCAATGCAGATTTTGTCGATTATTGCAGAATTCGATACAGTGATTTCTACTCGGTTGTATTTTCTATGCATTTTCGCTAAATTTTGTGTAACTAACTGTATGGAAGTCCAAACAAACGGAGATACCAAAATACTATAAATTTTGACAAATTTTATTTTGCCCACCTCTGACAAAATGAGGATCACTCGTTAGGTGAATAAAGTTTGCATCCAAAAAAACACGTAATATCCACGGCCCCATAAGTATTTTTTTAACACCACAATTTTTGTCACCTAACAGATTTAGATAGATAGATGCAAGCAAAAGTCATCATGCTGCTTTTGATGATGATGATGTCGTCAAGTATCATTATGCATTATCAGTGGAAAGTATGTATGCACATACATAGGCAACATTACAATTTATCATGCATGCACATTACACATTATCGTCGTAAAATTTCAATTTTTTGACACTGCCAACGAACGAACGTATGTAATTAGTCGTGTGTGTCAATAATACGTTGTTTAAAGAGAGAGAGAGAGGGAGAAAGTAGTGGAAGTCGTTGGAAGGGGCAGATTTTAATAATGATGATGATAATGTCATGTGCGTGGCCGGAGTGCTAATTGATCATGTCTGCAGGTTAGCAGGTGTAGGATACGTGTCACGGCGTTGTAACGGAATGGGCTGAATATTTCAATTTGTGTGACGAAAAAAGTGTCAACTTTTGTCGCATTAAGGAACAAATTTGAAGCGTTTTTTTAGTGTTTAGACGTAATCTTTTCGTAAGTAGTTTTGTAATTGAAATAGTGAGAAAATGCAGGCAGGCTTTGGTAACTTTGTAAAATCCGTAAATTCTATAAACTTGTCAACAAGTAAAAGAAATACGGGTCCCATTTAGGAACAAATTTGAACCATTTTCTACTCCGTGTTTCCGTTGGAGAATTAGTTAAAATTAAATTTTTAATAGCAATCTTTTCGTAATTAATTTTGTAGTGCAAATATTGATGTCATTTTTTCAACTAGATAAATTTCCGAGGAGAAGATCTCTGCATAAATGACTGCGTAATTCACACCCAGGTCACACACCACATGCCGATTTTGACCACCCAACCCGAGTAGAAATCACTGTGTCGAATTCTGCAGTAATCAACACAAGCTCGATGCATATTGTATTTTTCATAATTATTTTCTTTTTACATAATCCTGCACAAAATTTCAATCGATTTTATTCTGCAGAACTGTATGCACATAATTCCACAAAGTTTCCTGCATAAATCTCTGTATTATTTTTTTCTGTACCAAATCGGGCCAAATCCGGCCCCAAATTTTCGCATCCATCCTGCACGGACGTGTCTCGACACACCATCATTTTTCCCCCATCCGTCAATTATTCGTCCCACTCTTTCATTCCAATCCTCGTCATCTCGAAGTTGATGAATGAATGATCTTTTTCTTCTTCGTCAGCACCACCACCACCACCACCGCAGAAATAATAGGCTGCATGCATGCATCTCTTCTTCTCCCATCCTCCGACATCGGACTATGCAGATAAATACTTCTCGCAAAATATCGAGTGCGATGACCCACGCCATTCTCCGCTCCATCCTGGTCACAAAAACGAAATCTAATCCACCCTCAAGAACATCTCCGTCATCGTCCAAATCGTCACTTTGATGATTTTAT